TCCATTCATTACTCTATACATCTTCAGGACTTGCAGATGCCTTTCTTCACATCAGCTTCCTGCACTTTGTGCTCTGTCCCCAATGGCCACTTCCATGAACCTTCCCCCAGAGACTCCTTCTCTTACATGGTGGCCGATGATTTTTTCAAACAAAAATGAAAGATCAGACTCGTGAAAAGTAAATTGCTTGACCTGTTGGTCACTTACAGAGGAAATTGTTTCCAAAAGCTGGATTCCTGTCCACAGGAACCCAGTCCCCTGGGTTCTTTCACACAGACCATTCCTCAAAAGGACAGTAATTCAGCAGTTTTTAAGTAGACAAAGTTTTAAACAGGTCATAGAGACCTGCTCTAAGATGGATAGTTTGTTTATTTGCAAGTGAAACCAGCAGCTAAACAAGCAAAAGAAAAGAACATATGAAGGAGAAGCAAACACTGCTGAACACTAGCTCCACCACCTTTGCTATTCGTTATCCTTACTCGGAATAGTATTCATTCACTGACAGTTGGGATATCTGGGTTTTCAGTACAAGCCTGTATCTAATATTGCATGTTCAAACTAACATATTAGTAAACAACGTTAAGTTGGTCAGCCTTTGAGTGTTTGGGAAAGGAGGAACTTTCCTGACTTTACGTTAAAAGTTTCTTCCAATTTAATCACATAAAAAGCAGAGTAAATTGGTACTTTTCAATATCACAGTTTAGTAAGCTGGGTGTCACCCTGAAACTTAAGGAAGCGGGTACACAATGTCCTTTCCTTCCTTTACTCACCAGAATGCAACCCTGCTAGGGGTTATCTCTTTGGCTAATAAAAACATTTATTCTATCCTCATAGCTACTGTACCGGCTCACAAATTACAGACTCTTACAGGCTTCTTTCAGGCCCATTAGGTGCATTTCCAAGTGTGGATGAACACTGCTGTCACCACCTCACCTCCCGACAGCACAACAGCCCTGAGAGCCAACTTGTCAACACCTGTTTAGACATGGACCTTGGCTTCAAAAAACTGAAAAAGTGCCTCACGGCTCAGCAGTCCCACCCGCAGTCACAAGTTTTCGAGTCACACCCCTGTCTCTGCAAACCAGCCAAGCTGCATCTCCAAAGAGCTAAGCCTTTTGCATCCACCCAACCAACGTACAGGCTATTGCAGAAACCAGCTGGTTAACCACCTTTCTCTAGTTTGCAGCCACAACCTAGTCATAGTCAATTTATGCCTCTTTGTTCTCTAATTAAAAAATACATATTTTTAAATAGTTCTCCTTTCCTGGAGATTTATGGAAGGCTGTACAACCCCCTCCTTAGCCCTCCTTTTTAGCACTGCTAAAGACCGCAAGCTGCAGGTTTTCTTAGATAAAAATGCTCCACTGGCTCCACCAGCAGCTCTTCTCAAACTACTGTACCAGTTCAAAGGCAGTTCTGAACACAGATATGCGAATTCTAAACTGTTCCAGCTTACGTATCTAGTTTCTTCTACAGTGATAGTAACATTTTGCTATCTCTGCTGTTAAGCATCTTGTGTCTCATCCTAGAAATAAAGTTGTTTTTACAGCCTCGTGTATTGATGGCTCAATCATCTATGATCAACTAAAACCTCAGGTCTTTCTTCTCCTCTGTCATTTTAACTACTGAGCTCAGTGTTATTAGTCACTAAGTGCACTTTGTACTATTAAATTCTATCTCATTTCTATAGCTCCAGTCACTTTCAAGGCAATCCAGTTCTTGTGCAATACTCTGATCTTTCTCTTCAATGACAAGGCTAATGTCACATCCTCTGCAAATTTATTCAGCACACCCTTACAAGGCATTAGTGTAAACAGTATTAATAACCAGCCCCAGAACAGGTTCTTAAAGACATCCATCAATGACCTCTTCTGTAACACAGTCCAGCTCTCAATCATGTTGTATTCTTTCCTTTAGCCAGGCCTTCATCTCCTCTTTACCAGATCTTTTCTAATCCTAATTCTTTACAAACTAACTAGATTCACTGTAGTGCCAACACGGGAACTGCCTTACTAAAATGCAGAGGTATTAGACCTGGAGCAAGTCCTTAGCTGACTCTTTAATTAAAAATAAATACAGCAAATTCTCAAGGACAGGTATCCAACCTGCTACACTCCACCTTAGTCAAATCACAATGCATTCGATCCCACCTTCCATGGTTTTAATTTTCTTTCTCTTCAAAACATACCCCATAAATCTGTGCACCGAGTTCACATTATGGATTGCCAACATAACCTTCCCCATTTCCACTTGCAAGAAAAACTGCCATCAGTGCTACCCCAACTTAGCAATATAGCCCAAAATGTTTGATTTTAATTACTGTTTCTTTAGAACTCTGGAAGGACTACTTGCATAGCCTGTCATTATGAGCCCATGAAGCTTCAAGTTACGCCTTTTTTTTGGTCAGCTTGTACTTCCAGTCTACTCATCTCATTTTCCCTAAGCACATGCTTTTCAAATCCTGTATTTGAGGCACAGCTGCTATTCCAACCTATTTATGTGATCCCTGTAGTACTTGGCTTCAAATGCCTCCATTGTACGTGGGAATAAAGACCCAGGGAATTACAACCATCTCAGTTGTTTGCTACTGACCAGTTTTCTTTGCCAAATTAGAACAGTGGGGGTGTTTTCAGCAGCACAGTGTTTAGTATTTTCTTGATCCCTGCTGTTTGCTAGGCTATCCCCATATAGTACTCTATCAATCGCCGAATTCTTTATTTAATATTTCTCTTCCTCTGTATTACTGTGAATGGAAACAACACAAATATTTTTCATCTTTCTCCCTCACTTCTCAAGTTAAAGTCAACAGATATGCCAACCTCAAACCAAGTCTATTAAGCCAAGAACTACTGAGATGGCATCTACATATTGTGATTCTTCCTTTCTCTGAGGATCTTCCAAGTAGATTTGGGGTAGACATCACAGCTGCAAGCCATTTCTACTGATAAAGCCTCACTCATTCGTGTGTTCTGATGTTAGAGCCTCAATGCAAATTGTTCAGCTCCGTGAACATCTACACCTTCATGCAGACGTTTTTAAGTCACTCTGGCTGTTGTTGGTCTATAAAATGGTGCAGTTAAGAACAGAACATATGAGGTGTCCTGCTCCAAAAAGAACCCACCAGTCAATGTGAGGTCTGCAATAATCACCAGACAACTCCAATCCACCAGCAGGAAACCTGTTGAAGCATTTCTGTCAAACCACCAATAAATCTCCCACCTCTACAGCCACCTTGTTTCATGTTCATATACAAAAAGTTTATTTTTGTTGGAATTGTGCATGATTGTTGCTGGGTTAGAAGGAAGGAGATAGAAGAGTGCCCTAGCAACACAGTGAGCTAAGAAGGTTTCACAGAGATGCTGCAGAAGGACTGACAGTGCTTCCATAACATACCATGAAAGTGTTCCTGTTGTGTCTTTAATTAGTGAGGTGCCAATAAGAGACATGCCACTTAGCCTGGGGCTACCGCAAGCACCAGAATGGATACCTGAGGTGGGGTGTGGCAAGCTAGGACAGCCAGACCAAGTGCAGCATTCAATCAAAGCATCCACCCTCAGGGAGACTTCATTTCCCTGGGTTCTCCAAGTTCATCTCATGAGCCATAGTCAGTAGACTAGATCTTATCACTTCTCTGTCCTGAAAATAACTTAGAATAACTCTCTAGAGTTTCAGAAGAGAGCCATTATTCCTGAATAATTCTTCTGCTTAGAAAGTACAGCAACTATTCTTGAAGAAAGCCACTTATCCTGCAAGAGAGTGATCATAGCTTATTCCATAATAATATCTTGTAGAACTTCATGTATAAATAAGGCCTTGATGAAAGATTATGTTCAAGAGAACAAGAGGGCTGTTTGAAGCACGCTGGCATTCTGTACTACAGAAATTGGTCCAATCTGAATTCCAACCACAGATTTCACCAGAAGGCTATACTGAATTAGTCACTATTACAACTGTATATATTTATTCTGATTTAAGAGAGTGGTTCTACACTGACCATATGACTCTCCTCAAGCACCACATGCCTGATCTCATGCACAACAGATGGAGTCCACATGCATGCAGTAAGATCACCAGCAGTGCTGTAAGTTTCTAGCTGCCAGCTTTTAAGTTACAAGGAACTTCAACATGTGAAGCATAACCCGAAAGAATACCAAGGTAGTTTAGTACCAGAAAATAACCGAAGCAGAGAAATCCCTGAAGTATTCCTGCAGCACAAAAGAAACGCTGCTCCAAAAGCACTTGCACAACACAATGGAGAAAAGGGTCTCAACAAAGTATGGTGCAGAGACTCCCCAAGAACACTGAAAGCAATACATGTTTCACTGCTCAGATGCTCAGTCATCATCTGTGTCACACCACATCTAGATTAGCTTGCGTTTAATTGCAAGTTTACAAAGGGACAGTTACACCCTTCGTGGCACTGTATAAATAAAAAAGAGCTAAAGTCTACACGTGACATCATTGGGCTTTCAGGTGAGCACCAAAACAATTCACTGGCTTGCTCATAATCATGACAAAAATCTTGGCAGTTCATAGAATCTCATGCTTGAATACTCTAAGTATTTGATAAGTCTAGGTTAGCAGCTTTCAACCTGGCTGATGAACTCCAACGGGTCCATGAAAGCTGAGGAAAGCAAGCATATCACTAACAGCTCAAATTTGCTGTTCTCATTGGAAAGTTTTAGAAAGCCGTAAATCCAGAGAGGCTGAAAGACACTGCACTAGGCATATGTGAAACAAAGGATCCAGAAAGCCTAGAAAGATATGGGAAATAAAAAGAGCTAATGAGATGCACTTCAAACAGCCTCAGAAGTTTATAATCGGCAAAACAAACACTGATTGTAAGAGACTTGGGTAAACACTTTGGCAGTCCAAACAGGAGTTGGGTTTTTTGGGTCCCTCAAGCACAATGCCCCAGGCAGTGAAAAGCCATCTTATCCCCACTGCCCTAGAACAGAATGGCCAAAGCAGTTATAACTCCACGAAAAGCAACCACTTACTCTGGTCGGCAAATCACCAGGTCCCCTTTGTTGGTGCCGTATGCTAATCCCAGGCCTGGCTCAGGCAGCCAGCGAGCAGAGTTTATGCTGACATGTCTTCTCTGGTCGGCAGGCATTGGGTACAGAACGTTGAAAACTCTCTGAAACAATAACAGGAGGTTACTCGACAGGACAATACAAGGCAGGAGAGCCACGGAGGCTCAAACAAACGTTCAATCTCCCTGCAGCGGCGCAGCTGGCCAAGGAGACATGTCACTTTACAGGATGTTGCAAGAAACGACTAATCCAGCAGCGAGAGTAAGCAGCTGCTAGAAACGCAGATACATGTGCCCCTAAGTGTTTAATAGATTGACTGGCACACAGCAGCAGAGCAGAAGAAATTCTGACCCCAGGAGAATCTGCATGTCGCTCAGTGGGCTGCACAGTCCTTCTATTCAAACTAATTAAACAAAGTGATGGGGACAAGTGTTACAGCCATTAGACAGCAGGACAACTGGGACTCTTCTGGCCTTCACCTCTCATCTTAACTCACTAGGGTGGAACAGGACACTGGCAAGTACATGGCCTTTCAGCATCAGAAGTTTATTGTTTCTATTAAGCAAACCAAACTTCATGCAAAAATAATACACAATTCTTTCCTTTTTTAAACATTTAAACAGCCTCCTGAAAATGTTTCAGAGTTTGACCAACCCCCACACCAACAGTGCACAAAGGAAAATCAAAATCCAGAGATTATGAGAATAACACAAGTACGCAAGTAACAAATCCCTCCGTTCGGGTCCCATTCCAACACCATCCATTTTACCTACAGTAAGGTAAGAAGCTGAAGAGCTGCTAAGACTGCAGGCAGTTAGCACGGCTGCAAGCCAGTCCCTCCCAAATGCTGCATTAATGCAGGTGAACAAAACCCCTGTGCACATGAAGGACCAATAGCAAGCTCTGCTTCCTCGTCTGTACTAGCTTGGTTTCTGAAGCGTATGAGCTTGAAAAGCAAGAACGATGAAGCAGAACAGATTATACCTACGCAGACATTCTCCTTCTACTCCAAGAAGCTAATGTCTTGTACAGCACAATGCTTTCCTGCACCCTGCCATCCAGCAACAAGAACTGGGTATACTGACAACATTCCATTTAGCCAGAAAATATGACGCATGTAGATCGTAAAAACAAAGGCATGGGAAGTGGAAAGAGGGGTAATGAGCCGGTTTGGCTACCAGGAATAGACAGGGACAAGCTGCTTCAGTGGACTGGGCCATCAGAGCATGTTCCATCATGGCTTCAGAAGGGTAGGACAGAAGATTGCATTTACAAGTCCAAACCATTAACAGAATTTCTGCAGAAATTTACCCAGGATTTAAACCTGTAATCACTGCAGGTAACACAGACTTTGAATCTAGATTTTCAATGGGATAAGTCCCAAGCGAAAGATATGTTTTCATTAGATTTTCTGGTGGGCAACCACCCATCCATCACAAAACCTTTCTTCCAGACTCCTCAGAAAAGGGGATGGTGCTGGACCAGGAAGCAGGGAAGGGAATGAGGATGTGCTGGAACAACAGGATAAAGGTAGATGGGAATGCAGATCAACCACTACTGCACTGCTGAGGTGGCCTGAAGTAATAATTAGAATTCATTAGGGTAGGACTCATCAGCTAGCATAACACTGGGGCTCAGGACGACAGCTTACGTACCTGTTTTTCTCCGTAGCTCTACTGCGCACCCCACATCTTGTCTGGTTGACAATTGAACTTGAGAAGTCTGAGCCAGAGACCAGTTAACTGTATGCCCTCCAATAGCTAGCACCTAGAACATTCATCTTGACCATCGTAACACAAAAAAACTCAGTCAGAGCAAAACGATAGCTACAGTATTTCCCATCATCAGTAACACATTAACCTCTCCTCTGAGGAGGCCACATTAGAGGAGAGAACGTCCTTAAGGACTTCTCTCTATGACAGAAGCTGGTCACTCTTTGCCCTGGCTATCACTCAGCAGTTAGTGTATTCAGAGAAGCTCGGTGTTTGGATGGAAGGAACAGCCCCTTAGGGGCTTAGCTAGCTCTTACCCATCTCTGTCGTGTCTGCCCCGTTCCCTCCCCGCCTTGCTTGCTGGGGGCGGGGGCGCAGGGGGAGAAAAAGAAGCGGGGGGGGGGGAAAATCAGATGTACGATGGTAGCACCTGTTACCATGGAGATTATGGTGCACTCTGAGATGGGGAGACTGGATTTTGAGGAGGAGGAGGAGGAAGGAGGGGAAAGGGAGGGGTCCGCCAGAGCTACGAGCATAAATTCATAAAATAAGCATTCCAAATTCTCAAGAACTGCAAGGGTTTTCCATCATATCCTTCTTTGGCAAGTCAGAAACAAACGGTTTCTCTTCTCCTGAGAATGGCTGTGCAGGTGCACTCTGAGATGGGGAGACTGGATTTTGAGGAGGAGGAGGAGGAAGGAGGGGAAAGGGAGGGGTCCGCCAGAGCTACGAGCATAAATTCATAAAATAAGCATTCCAAATTCTCAAGAACTGCAAGGGTTTTCCATCATATCCTTCTTTGGCAAGTCAGAAACAAACGGTTTCTCTTCTCCTGAGAATGGCTGTGCAAGGTATCACAGCTAGAGAAGCTGCCTCCCTCCTCCCTGGGCTAGCCGCAAGCTCTCCTGCGCTGGCAGGTCAGTTTGCAGAGACGTTGTCCCACAGGCTCCGCAACCAGCCATGTCAAGTGGGGGGATCTGCTAGCTACAGCTCAGCGTCCAGGTGCTTTGCAGTAAATAGCACCCCATGGAAAGTGCTGCCGAGGACACGGGTCCGGTTCTGACAACCTGCAAAAATGTTGGCTGAGGGCAGAATCTCAAAGACAAGATGGCTTAAAAATTCTGCGTAAGAATAGTTGCTTCATCACTCCACTCCATTCACTTCTATAACAGCTTGTCACGCCGAAGAGCTCCCCTCCCCTGCTGCTTCCCACTCCCACGCTAATGGGACAACTCCATGCAGTGTTAAGGGTGATGACATCTGTGCGTGTGGTAATTAGTACATAAAAAGAGAAAGCAGCTGTACTGGCATAATCACCACTCGCAGCAGTAACCAGAACCCAGCTAATCAATCTGATGCAGTCATACAGACTGGCTGTTGCAATTGCATCCATTAGCAAGACCCCCTACTCTATCCACAGAGTGGGAAAAAAACTAAAGTTCCTTCAACATCGGCAGGTCCCTCTCTTCAAAGAAGGTCAGAAGCCTGCCGGGAAGCATTATTGTCCATAGATCACAGCTAATTCCTTTCAGATTTTTTTCTGTTGTCTTTTTGTTTCCATTGCTAAATCTTATAAAAAGTTACTGAGATATTTCAACCTGAAAACATACCACAGAGTGACCACACCTCTCTGCCAGTGGGATTGTCCGTGCTTTGTAGTTCTGAACTTCAGGGAATAATATTCAGGTTATTACAGGAATCCTACACTAACACAATTCTCCAGCTTCTAGGTCAAGAGATTGCTGCCGACCCTCAAACACTCTTAAAACTAGCAATACAGATGCATAAAGTTGATAATTCACTAGTTCCCTTTCACTAGGGCTGGTCCACAGACTCGTTGCAGGCCACGTGTAACAGCCATGTTGATTGCCAAGAGTTCAGGAACCAGTTTAGAACCACTGTCGTAAAAGTCCACTAATCTTTAAGGTGTCCACCAAACTCTACCACAGCCTCCAGAGAGTTTATTTTTAATAGGGTGCCATCTTCATTTAGGACAGATATCATATTGCATCACACTTTATCAGCCCATAATCACTGCCAGCAGTCACAGAAAGCTTCCAGGCTCTTCACCATAACCAATGTCAAACTTGCTCTTAGCATCACTACACTACTAATTCAATAATACATAGCCACACCATTAGATGTGGCGACTCAGCATTTTATGAAGTTGGCATTTGCATTTGTTTCCAGATGCTGTTCTGAAACAGAGTTTTGAATGGTATGTTTTTCTAACTATAAACACTGTGAAGTCTGAGGAGTGGGAGCTTCAGAACATCCCTATGGAAGCTTAAGCCCAAACAGGCAATACTGAGGAGTGGGAGCTTCAGAACATCCCTACGGAAGCTTAGGCCCAAACAGGCAATGTAAATATAGCAAGCTGTTCCCTTCTTGGCAAAAACATAAACACATAAATGTCATTTCAGTAGGCAAGAAAGGTCCTACCCCTTCCCTTTAGGGCCACACAACCCAGCATGGATTACACACAACAGCTGCTTGACCTGTGCTTACATTTGTAGAAAACCCTGTCTCCGGTGATCTCCCCACACTTCACAGGAGATTCCAGAAGTATTCTGTCATTTCAGGGACCTCATCTCTCCTCTGAGTTCAGAGGATGTCAGCAAGATAAAAAGTCTTCCTCTAGAAACACGAAAACTGCCTAGGTAGCTAAGCTTCCACACAAAAGGCAACTCTCATACAAAGGGAAAGCAATACTAAAGAAACAGCCAGTGGCTTCCATTCTACATCCCTGTAACCATGAAGTGTGGGGAAAGATTTGGTTGAGTAATGTACGTCTGCACTTCTCTATTTTCAAAGGCCGCACTAAAAGCAACTACTTATCTCTTTGGTGTGCCTTTTCCATCCTCCTCGAACAGGAGTGGGCACGTACATCATCTACTGAGCTCCCTAAAGCTCATTTCATCACTTCACAGCCACTTCTTCAACGTCGCATTCAGCAGGGGAGAAGGTGGCTCAGAGAACGCAGGGCTGTAAGGCATGAGGAAAAGAAAAAAACAGGCCCTCAAAGTGTTCAGCAAACAAGCTGCATGTGGAGTGCAAAGGCCGCCTCAAGTCCACTGCTGCTGCTCCCCCTCCAACTTGTCAGTGCTGGCACATCAGTACTGTAGCACCTGTCACAGCCACCACTTAGGTATTAAACTAAATATTTACGCATGGCAGAGAGCCAGGAGAGGCTGCGTGACAATCAACAGCCTCAAGGAATCTTTCCCAATGATCTCTTCCTCACCGTCAAGCTGCTGTACTTACGTGGGAAGAAGAGGGCCCAGGGCACAACACGTAAGCGCTGAGCTAGACAGTTAATTTGTACCTGCCCTGGAGGGGTAGGAAAACTTTTTGCTAAAAGCCTCTGCTCTGCAAAGCCCTGGTTATTGACC